TTCGGTCCTCTCCTCAGGTGTCTCGCTTCATGTGGACTGTGCGGCCACGGTCGGTTGCCTTCGAAACCTCGCGGGGGCAGCTGGTGCGTCGTCGGCCCGAGCCCACTGGTGGGCTGAGATTGGGGACCGGTTGGAGGGCTTGGCAGTGCATCAGATCCCGTCTCACTCGTCGATGGTTGATGTTAGGGAAGGCCGTATCACTGAAATGCAGCGTTTCGGGAACTCGGAGGCGGACAGACTCGCCAAGGAAGGAGCTGAGCCATTCCGAATTTCGATTGAGGACCGCCATTTTGTGACTGGATATGCAGAGCTTGTCCGACGTGTCGGGCTGTACAGTGCCAGGCAGCAGGCTGAGTGTAGGGATTTGGCCCTGAACGATCATCAAGGGTTGGAATGGCTCGGCTACGTCCTCCTGGATGCGGTCCCGGGCTTCCCCCTTCCTGGTTCGGACCCTGGGGGCGGTGAGCCAAGTGCGCCTAACGGTGTGCCTCAGGTTGCGCCTGGTGCGGGGGAAGCCCCTGGCGAGGCCCCTGGTGCGGTTTCTGGTGAGCCGCCTCCCGAGAACCCCCCGACCCCAGGAGCATGGCTCCAGCTGGGGCACTCCCTTGAGCAGGGGGTGGTATATGAGTCGGATGGCTGCACGTATCACGATACGATGCTGTGTTGCACGGCTTGTGGTGCAATGGCACATTCCAGCACGAAACGGGGGAATCTTCGGTTGAGGTGTCGTCCTGTCACGTCTGGGGGACGGGGGTTTTACCTTGACCGATTTCGTGCTGGAAGATATCCTGCCCATAGGAATCCTAAAGGGCTCACTATGGCGTACACGGGTGCCCCCTCTCTTGAGGTTCGCTCGGAGTGGAGGCCCTTCTTTGAGGCCTGGTCCCAGGGCCGCGACCGCCCTCCGAGAATAGCTCGGGGTGCCCAGCCCTCGCGCAGCGAGGGTCCCGCTGCCGACCGTGCGCGAGGCCTCGCCATGCTCGGCCTGACGCGGGCGGAGGTCGTGGAGCTGGGGGCCGAGGTCGAGGCCAGGCGCTGGAGAGGCGTTCTTCCCGAGGAGGAGGAGGATCTCTTCGGCTGCCTAGGCCCCTCCTAACTTGTTTGTTTTTTGTTGCATGCGAATTGGGTCACTCCCTTCGTGGTCGTGGGCGTCCTCCTCCTCCTCCTCCTCCCCCTCCTCCTCCGCGGCGCCGAGGCCGGGACGGCGCGGCGCCCCGGCGGCCGCGCCGCCGCTCGGGCGCGCCCGCCGCGCCCCGCCGCGGCGCGGCTGCCGCGCGCTTCCTGTGAGAGCCGCGGCCGCGGCCCCGCCGCGGGGCCCCGCCGAGGAGGCGCGCCGCCGCGGCCGCGGCCGGCACCTGTTACCAGCCTGGAAAATATCCCTATCCTTAGACTGACACGCCAAAAGGCGATGACAATCTCAGGGATCCGCCCTCAAGAAATAAGGGAGTCCCTAAGATTGGCTTCGTGATGAGGAGGTGCCCAGCACAGGGATGGGGATATGTTCCAGGCTGGTAACGATCGTTGCCCCGGCGCGGCACCATCTGGGAACCCAGGCCCCTGCGGGTCACGGCAAAATCATGACGGGCGGTGTTCCTCCAACTTCGGTCTCCGGGGGCCCTCACCGGCCCGCGGGACCGTGCAAAGACGGCTCGGGATGAAGGACTGGTCCAGGGAATTAAATCCAGACCGCTGGCATCGTGACGAGGAGGTGCCCAGCGTAGGGACAGGGATGTGTTCCAGGCTGGTAAGAGGAGGCGCGCCTGCCGCGGCCGCGGCCGGCACCTGGGCTGCTCTGGCTGGCCCCTTCCGCGCCGCCGCGGGGTTAAGTCGGGCCTGTCCCCCTACAGGGGAATTTTCTATGCAAAATAAAAAATACCCCAAACATAATCAAACAATACGTACTCCAACCAATCTTCTGGGGACTATTTTTGGACTATTTTTTTGCCTTTCTGGGGTATGTTTTGGGGTGTTCTTTATTTTTCGTCGAGAATCCCCCTGGTAGGGGGACAGGCCCGACATACCCCCCGGGCCGAGCACTGCGGGCCTGCATGCCTCAAGCAGCGGTGAAGCGTCCTGGCTCGCCCAGAGCCCTACCAAACAGTGTTCTGAGAACGCGCTGTGGTTTCCACGAGGTGTTTTTAGAACCTTTCTGGCGGAGTCTGTCTTGGTTCAACACATCGGATGTACGTTCTAAGGACATTGTTTTTGCTCTTCGAACGTGTTTGGGTTCTAAGAACACTTCGTGGTAGGACTATAGGAATGCCGGGACGGTCGGTCCCTGCTCAATGCATGCCGGCGGGCAGCCGCGGCGGCGCGCCGCCGCGCGTGCTCTGGCGCCAGTGCGCCGCCGCGGCGGGCCTGCTTCTCACAGGAGGGCGAGTTGAGACAACGGGGGCTGCTGCAGTTGGCCTTCGGTAGGCCCCCTCGTCGCCACGGCTGGGCGCAGCTCGGAACACTTGTGCGTGTGGACCGTGGCAGGTGTCCGGGGACCGATTTGGGGCTGCTGTTGTCTCAACTCGCCCTGCTCCGAGTTTCCGCAGGCGGAAGAGATGGGCGCGGAAACGTGCGCGGGCAGGAGCGGGCGGCCCTGAGATCTAGGCGATGTGATTTCTTTGGGCGCCAGGCGTTTCATCGCCCGGTTCCGGGCGCTTGGAGCCTTAGAGGGCGTTTTGTCTTTCAGCCTCGGGCAAGTGTACTTGCATGACAGTTTGCCCTCCCCCCCCTCTGCATCCTTTACAAACAGCGCTGGGCCGAAAAGGCGTGCAGCAAGTGAGCCCCGACTGGCGTGAAGTCCATATGTCGCCGCGCCGTTCGTTCCGACGCGCGGCCCTGCGTCTTGGAGAGGGCGCCGCAGCCACCAGGGCAAGCGCCGCCTCGGAGGCGGCGGGTTTGCCGTGGAGTTTGCCACGGCGCTGGCTGCGTCTCCTTGGGGCGCGGGACGCAGGGTTTGCCGTGGGTTTGCCATGGTGCCGGCGTTGTCCACTTGGGCGTGTCGAGGACAAACGCCGCGGCCACAAAGTTCTTTTCGGGCTTCGCCATCCTCCCTCCCCCATCACCCCTCCATGCGGGTACATTTGCCCGAGGCTGAAGAAAAACGGCCTCTCACAGTTCTCATCCAGCTCGAGAAATCCAGCAGAAACATGGGGTATGAGGCTGCGTGTGTGATTTCTCGCGATGCTGTTTGGTTCCCCGACGTCGGACCCGTAGGAGGGGGGGGGCGACGGCGATGACCCAACCACGGGAGGTAAACCGAACCGCCAGAGACGGTGAGAGCCAGCACGGTACCAGTGCAACGGTTTCGCAAAAGTGAATGTACAGGTGAATCCGTTGAACGACGGTGCATATCTATAACTACGAAGAAGGAACCAAATCCATCACGAATGCGATAACGCCAACATATGATCAATACGTGGTGGCAAGCGCTAGTGAAGATGAAGCGACTACAGTAGTACACGCGAACACGAGCACGTATGCTGACATGTCAGGCACATAATGATTTTATCCTCTAGGCGAATGCTTAAACGTGTACGCGAACGCGCGCGTCTTGGAGCGCGAGTGCGCATGCGACACTGAGCGTAAGCACCAATGCGAACACCGAAGCACTCACAACAGCGAACGCAACAACTGTTCAACTTTCCAGTTTAATGACTTACGTGGCTCCGGAAGCGACGAGCGAACGGAATGCGACGGAGGCGCGAAATGAGTGCACGCGCATACACAGAGTACGCGAGACGTACAGGACACGTTGCCCACAACAAATGTTCCGAGCAGGTCAGGGTCTGGATTGACAGGTATTTATCCAGAGTTCTTGCAGCAATTGTTGGCAACAGCCCTTGCGTGAGAGGCTGTTGCGCGTGCTGCGTCGACGAATTGTTAGACTTGGCGATATCTGTCCGTGAGAAACCATAGTTCGACAGCAGTATTGCTCGTCATGGGAAATCGCGCAGCCTTGGTATGAAGGGAGGTCGCATGTCCGTCGGGTTTGAATTACACGCTGGACTGTCAAAACTGGAAAAGGACGAACGATGGTCATTGTATCACTGTCGCACTTATCGTTGCAATCAGTTGCACGGTGGTGGAAATCAACCTTCGTTGTGCCAATTGTATTAAGTCGTCGGCTCTGGAGTGGTGGTTGCGGTCGTGGCGAAGTTGTAGAGTTGCGGTGGTAGTAGTTAGTTTGGATGCTTTGCCAGATGGATGTTCGCGAAGGTCTTCATTGGATGGGCGCAGGTTGTGAGACGTTTGGTGTAGGCGGTTCAGTTCTGGTGCATTCGATCATTTGGCGCAGCTTTGTTCATGACCCCAGGACTGTTCGCTGGAGTTGCCCCGTTTCTTCTGGGCCATTGTCTCAGGGGCAGGTGCGGGGATAGGCTCAGGGGGCGATGCAACGAGCCCGAATCGCCCATTCATATCCAATGAGGGCCCGATAGCCCTACCGCGCGCAGAATCGTTCAGATTCGCTATCTGGTGCTTATCGCCCATACATCGGCGATCTATCGCAGATTCAATGTCGATGTCCAGTCCCTAACTATCGTTGACCCTCACTGTCAGCAGTCTCAGAGTTATGTTGCTCGTATTTCCCCTCCCCCGCTTCCAGGAAGATCATCGGTTTCCAGCAACCGTTCCTGATGTACCCCCGGCACGAAAACGAGGCCCAGAGGGTGGACAGACGCGCGAGAGGGCAATTACGTTCAGCAGGACGTGGAGGGGAGAGCTGGAGTCGGAAGGTTGTGCGGAGGATGTGGAGATGCAGGCAGAAGGAGAAGCAAGAGGACGAGGGCGAGGAATTCTTGAATTGGTAAGGGAAGACAGGCACCATGAGCGCTTGCAGAGTGGGGAAATCGGATTGTGAGGGTGCGGAGGCTAGAGGCTCGACGAGAGGAGAGTGGTTGTTGGAGAGAGCATGAGTGTGGGTGCGACGGCGCATTATCTGACCCTCAACGCACCTAGCTAACACGTGATGTCTCATGGTAGGGGTTTCTTGTAGTGAGTGTCGTTGTAGTGTGGCATGGGTCTGCGCGTAAGTGTCGTTATACGTGCGGTACTGCCACGCATCCGTAGTCTCGAACATCAAATGTTGCAGCCTCGCATCTTAATTTTTCGCGTATTGACAATACGATGCTGCATGCGAGCAGGCGCTTTCCAGGATCAAGTCTTCGCCAGCTTCAGTCTAACGACGGCATGTTATCGTGACATGTTCGAGACACTAATCGAAGCAACATCAAAGCGCAGTCGGCACATCGCCAAGACACAAGACCTGAACTTACCGACGGGCCTCTCTCCTGGACACCTTCGGCCTGCCGCCAGGAGAACTTTGACATTTAAACCCATGACCCATGTGGAAAGACAAGACTTGGGTCGCACATCATGAGGTCCTTGTATATCCTCGTAAGTCCGTCTTCAGAGCGCACGATCGTCGAGTAGCGTCTCGTAGCCAATGAGGTGGCCCAGATTTAACGTCGACTCAGCGTCGATTCGCAAGATGGTATGGGAGGCCCCCATGAATTGACACCGAATCATGTGCTCTTACCTGTTACGCAACATTTTACGCATTCCTTGTTTATATGCTGATGTACGGTCACGCCATGGCGTACAGGTCCGCAGAGCACCCCCCCATCTTTGGAGCCCGCCCAATTGACCCCTCCCAGTCTGGATATTCGCAGCTCCAGAAAACCATCGACCCTTCCGAAACGGCCACAGACCGCGCCAACACGGCTGCAAACTTTCCGGATGATTGCGACTCCACCCCAACAATGCGGTTTCAAATAATGTTCGAAGGGTTCTTTGGGGCTGTAATGGTGTCATGTTGTAGTTCGGGCGTTTCAAATGGCCCCAGAAGCCCCGCGCAGGCTCCGAGGTAAGTTTCTTGGAAGCTTCCCGGATGCAAGAACCATTGCAAAACATCATGTGTTTCAACATTCTCATGGGTCACAATCCACAGGGATATGTTTTGATCTCTTCGGAGCGCTTTCGGGAACCTCCGGGTGCATTTTTGGGGCTTTTCGAAGCTTTTTGAGGGGCCTCCTGGAGCTGCCCGGGCCCCTTTTGGACAACCTCTGGGGGCGCGTTGGGGGCCCCGCGAAGCCTCCCGGGAGCGGTTTAGGGCCGAGAGTTCCCAATGTCAATTCAGATCCCACGTTTGGGACCCGTCTGGCGCCCGCATGACAGAGAGACTTGCCTGGGAGATTCGAGAATGTGGGATCTGGACCCTTCGGGAATGTGTACTTTTTGTCTGTAGCCGCGTGCGCCTCCCTCCCCGTCCCTCCTCATGCCCATCTGATCCCCATCCCCCAGCCCATCCCCTCCCCCTCGGTTTCCCCATCCCGTCCACATCCCCTTCGCTCCCTGCCGTCCCCATCCTCATCCCTTCCATATCGGCCTCTTGCCCACTACCTGCCCTCTTGCTCCGAGCACGCGCACGCATGTATAATCGGGACCCCTGCCGCTTGCACGCTTCGGGCGCCAGCCTGTAAGGCAGCGGGGAAAGGGGGGACCGGGCCGGAGACGGTAAGACGGAAGAGGGGAGGGAGAGGAAAAGGAGGAGGACGCGGGAGGGAGGGAAGGAGAGAGGGAGGTGGGCGGGAGGAGGGATCGAGAGGAAGGTGGGTGGGTGAGCCGACTGCGCCCCCCGACCCGTGAGGACATCCATAACGTCCCAGGATGCAAGTGGCCCCCAATTGTATCCACGTGCCTAAAGAGATTGGCTCGAAGGCCGATAGAACGTGAGCGCAAGCAGAACGCGCGAAGATTAGAGTGGTTCTCTGGGCAAGTGCGAAACTTCAATGGCAGCGGTGGCAACAACAAGCTCGAGCGAGTACACAGCATATGCTGCGAATGGACTGGGTTGATGGACAGAATCAGCAGCATCATCATCAGCGAGTGCGCGAACGAATGATAGGGCAATCGAGGAGTAGCGTCGCATCAGGGTGGCCCGTTGCAGCAGACGATGTCGTGGGTGAGGTCATCACCTTGCTGGACGCCGATGTGGATCTGGACAACCTCTAGGCCCGCACTGCGCTGGTCGTCTGTCGAGTCTCGTCTCGCGCTGATCTTGGTGCGCGCTTCTGGGGGAACCGAGGAAGCGTGGAAGATCTTGTTCTTATGGTCAAATCGATGTCGTCCCCATATCTCGTCCGTCCTCATCCCCCATGCTTCCTGCGCAAACAGAACTGTATAGTATCTGCTTGAGCAAGCAAGGCTCAATCCGCAATCCTCCCCCGACGTTCCGTCCACATCTGCCAGCTGTCATGGCTGCCTTCGCCAAGGCTCCCCCAGCCCACATGCCCTCCCACCTGCATGGTCTCCTCCTCTCAGGAGGAGCCCGCGAATCAAGGCTGGAAAGCATGGCATCACGAGGGCACATGTGTTAGGAGTCTCCAGCAATCCGGCAGACGTGCCTGCACGCGCACTCGACGTGCATCCGGGGCCAGGAAAGTGGCCACTACATGATGTCAGGCTCGTCCACCACTTAGTGGCACACGGCGGCCAAACAGAGTGTAAATATTGTAGTGGTCTCCGGCCAGTGCCGCCGATCCGGGGCGCTCCGGGTGATGATGATGATGATGATGGTGATGATGGTGATGGTGATGATGATGATTGCGATGGTGATGATGGTGATGTTGATGATGATGCTACTGATGGTGATGATGATGGTGATGATGATGATGGTGATGATGACGATGATGATGATGATGATGATGATGATGATGATGATGATGATGATGATGTGACGATGGTGATGGTGATGGTGATGGAGCACCACTTAGTGGCACATGGCGTTCAAGCAGGGTAGAAATACTTGTTTCAACACCTGTCGCCCAGAGAACCAGCCAGACAATCGTACACC